AACCTCAAACACTTTGGAGACATTTTACTAATGAAAACCAATGCTCTCTCTCTGCCCCGTTCTGGCAAATGACTTAATATAAAAAAAAAAAAAAATTCACCTTACCCTTCCGTGAGAGCCCGAGCTTTCTCCAAGTCTTGAATGACATTCAAAAGGACTTTAATTTTCTCTTGATTCGAGTGCAGAGATTCTTCCACCGATTGCAGTCGGCCTTGGAGGTCGCAGAGTTCGCCCCTTGCCAGGTGAATTTGATTGATCCCGCTGATCTCCCTGTGGCTCTGAAATCTAGTCTCTCTCGTTGGAAGAAAGGATGGCAGGTGATCATTTCCTGGGCAATTTCGAAACTCCGGGGTGTCCGACTGCGTGGGGTTCTTTGCCGTCTGCTCCTTACACTCAGGGACAGATTCTGATGAGTTGTTAGGTTTGGGTGCCAGCAGATCCTGGTGACTGTTACTCGAGGAAGAACAGTCTGAAGCCCCTCCTGGGTGGGCGGGCTGGCTGCCAGAGCCTGGTGAGGGGGAGTCGTGAGTCCGTGGAGCTGAGGGAACACACATTTCCTTTGACCGAGATGACAGTGGGCCAAAGCCTTTGTCATCAGAGTTGTCTTTGGGCAAAAGCAGTTCGGTGTTAAGTGTCCCCGTGCCTGGCATGTGGTTGGCACCGCTGGTGGCATTTACACGGGAGGCGGGGCTTTCTGCGTCCGATGGCGGCGCTCTTCCCCCGTCTCCTGGACACATGTCAGCCAGAGGGTGGAGGGAGTTGCTTATCTCTGCAGACCTGTCTTGGCTGGAAGTGGGCTCTGCAGCTGCCCAGGTGGGACTGTGGTAAATGTCCTCCGGGACCTGAATGGCAGCTGTTGCTTTCTCTGAGGCTCTCCAGGTCCCTGCTTCCAGGCATATGCTAACAGGCCCGTTGCTCTGCACCTTGGACATTCTAGGGAGGAACGGGTGGGACACCTGGACCCTTCGAGGCCCATCTTCAAGATGCTGAGCCAGCCTTAAGTAGGCAAGGTCAGAAGACACAATGTCCTGTTCAGAGAGGTTGCCATTGACCTGGATGGCACTTTGGGATGCGGTTGGCATTTCCACCAGTGACTTGCTGGCTGTGAGTCTCTTCCTTTTGAAAACCGGGAAATGCTTCCTGAGACTGGGGGAGGTTTGGATCCCGATGTTTTGAAAGCCCCCTGCCTTCTGGGCCCTGGGGAAGGAGAGCGAGTAGGTGGGGAGATGATGGTGCCGGGATGCTTGAGTCTTGCCCATCACAGTCGGGTCTTCAGAAGTGTGGACATCCGCCTCAGCTAGGCCAGGCGGAGTCTTACCGGTCCCATCTTCCTTGAATCGCACCTGCTGAGATTTGCTCCTGCGGTGGTGTGGTTGCTTCACCAACTCCACAGACTCTAGACTGTTACGCTTTAGAAGCACAGGACGCACTTTCATATTTTGCTGGGCCATTGAGCCTCAGTTGAAAGGATTGGGACCCTGCACTTCTCCTGGGCACATATCCTTAGGTCTTTGGAGCAGCATCTGATGATGGCATCTCAGACTTGGAGGTCCGCCAGCCCGGATGGAGCGGCCCTTTCCTCTGAGTCTGAGAAGCTGTGTTGGCCATTCCTAGCCTGCAGATTCTAGTTGCGAGCTATCTGGAAGGCTTCCCTTGCACTTAAAATATTATTTCATTGCGGTGATAATTGCCACTTAGATAAACAATGAGTTAGGCTAATTATTAAACCTCCTATCTACCAAGAGAGCTGGTAAGCTGTTCATCAAGGGAGGCTGGCAGGCAGTTCCGATCCTGGAAAACGCTTGCCGTCTTGAACAAAAAGACAACAAAAGTACCATTTAGAGGATAGCGTCAGACTCCCGATGCGTAACTTCCAAAAGAAACCTGCTACTTCGGGAACAGATGGCTTCCTTTACCGGAGCATCGATTTCCAGGGTGAAAAACTACAGGAAACTTAAACACGGCTTCCTTCCATAGCACGTAAACCGGCAGAGAAATCAATGACCTGGGGGTTGGCTTCTTTGATAATACATGATGCCCCTAAGAGAATGTCCCCATTTCTGTCAATGGCAGGTCCCTCCCTCGGTGACATTGTTTTCTTTCATGCTCTGCCCCTCTTCTTCAGCGAGGGAAACTTATCTTCCTAAATAGACTCACAAAACCCAGTGAGGCGTGGCCAGGACGAGGCTGAGGCATCTGAAGGCATGCAGAGGGCAGAGTCCCTGTGGTGGTTCACATGTGGGCACCGTGATCCATGAGTGCAGCCTCTGGGAATCTAAGCTGAGAATGGCTGCCACTTGTCCCTGGGACTCAGGGTCTGAGACCCGGCCATCTTTGCCGGCAGGCAAGAATAGTCTGAAAGGGAAGAGACAACAGTGGCAGCTGAAAATGCAGTTCCCGAGGACCTGCGTTTCTCTCCAAATTCCAGCCTCCCAGCCGGGTGCTTCTGAGTGGGTGGTCTGGGAGTAAGTCCACCACACTGCCCTTCTTTCTGTCCCCCTAGTAAGCCAGCCATCTCATGGCTTCAGGGCCTCGGAACTAAATGCCCGTCCGACTGATTCGTTTTCTCCTCCTACTCCAGGCATCACCTAGCCCGCTCCTATTCACCTGCGAAGTGCCAGCTTAAATGTCACTTCCTCAGGAAAGCTTTCCAATGACTCCTCCCTCACGTAAACTCCAGTGCCAGACCACGTCAGGACCCCGTTCTACCTTCTCGTCACGTCCCTCATAACACCGATTGCAGCTGTCCTTAAATAAGCATGTGCGTGTGTATTTATTTAGCGTGCATTTCTCCCACTGCCCTGTACGCTCTAGGGAGGCAGGGGCCAGAGCCATCTTATTCTCCTCTTGGCTGCTCTCAGCCCGCTTTGGGCTCCCTGTGGGTGCTTAACGAGCATTTGCTGAAAGAGTAGAAGGCTGAATGAAGGTCTTTAGGAAGCGAAGGAGAGCCTGGTCGTGGGGGTTCCTGGGGTGTCCTGCCAAGGCAACAGGATGGTGAATTCTCTCTGCTACGACTTTACTCTGAGGACAAGACTTTCCCTAACATCTTCATTTTTAATTGCTTTCCAGGAGATAAATGTGCACACAATTCTCTGTAGAAAGTATACCTTGTAATAAAACAGTTACCATTTATTGAACATTTATTTTTACTGTGCTGAGGGCTGTACAGGCATTAATCATAACAACTCTCATTTACTGAGTACTCGTTAATGTGCCAGGCGCTGTTCTAAGCACTTTCCAAGCTGGAACTCATTCATTCCCTACTCTGTCGTGGTGGGTACTATCATTATCTCTATGGTCAGTTGAAGAAGCTGAGGCCCAGAAAGGTTAAGTAACTTGCCCAAGGACACGCAGCTAGTGACAGAGTCAGGTTCTGAACTTAACCATTCTGGCACCACAGCCTGTGCTCTTAACCTCTACACTCCACTGCCTTTCCAATATTGCATGATCTCATCGATCCTTACAACGGACCTATGAGATACCGAGATTCCTATTGACCGATGAGGAAACTGAGGCTCAGAGAGGGTACATACTCAGTGGAGGAGCTGAGATGTGAACCCAGGTGTCTATGATTCCAAAGTCTGGGTTCTTAGCTATGAGCTTATAACTTAGTCCCCTTGGGATCTGCCCTGTGTGCAGACAGGTGCCATAAGTGATTTGAGAACAGTTTGAAGATCTCCGCAGGTCTAGAGAGATGCAGGGGACATGGCAAAGTGAACCTGTTTGCCACAAGTCCAAGGGATCATACTGGGATGAGCAAGTTCGAAGCCTGCCTAGGTTGACCAAAGTATTTTAGAAGAAATCAAAAGTGATAAAATAGACTACATTCTGTCTGTGGTGCCCAGCTTATCATGAAGGTTGAAACCTCTGACTTCTATAAGCATGAGTGCTTTGCTTCCCATACATTCTCCATGCTGCTCTGTTGGGGTACCCATTTTGTGGGTGAAACTTATGCCTTTTTTTTCTCAGTCTTATTCTTTCTCCAGGAATTACTAGATAACGTCCATGGCAGTTTCAGCTTTCTTTGCTCCCAGCTACCTTGAGAGGGACCAACTAACCCAGTGGGGTGGGACAGTGAGTGACAGGTCCTGAAAGAGAATAGGATTCGTCTATAATGTGAATGAGCTGTCAACTTGTCACGAGGCCCTGAAAGTACACCTTAAGTGTACCTTAAACCTGGGTTCAAACCCTTGTCCCTTAACTGGCTGAAAGGTTTTGGACAATACCTATCCTCTCTGAGCCTCAGGTTTTTCATCTGTGAAATGTGGTGACACATACCATAGACACTGACAGACAAATGGGTCTGATGGGAGAAGTCAGTGAGACAGTGTGTGCAAAGCTCTCGGCCCAGAGCTCAGCACATAGCAGGTGATCGCATGCGTTTGCCGCCCCTGTTCCTACTGTCGCCATCGCCTGCAGCGTGGTTTCCCTGTCGTGAAGGTCAGAGTGTGTGGAGAGCACTCCCTGCAGTTTTTCCAGAGCTGGTTGGGCCACTCTCGGGTCAGGGAATGGGCAGAGTTTGGGGCAACCACCTCACACGTGCCTCATCTGCATGAAAAGCAAGGCTGGCCTCTGGGAGCTGCATCATCCCATAACTCTGAGGAGATGTTCCTGCTGGTGATGGGTTCCCTGGTCCCTCTGCACGATAATCTCAAACAATCTCACTGTTGAAGTCAGTTTCTTGTTTCAGTGACTGCACACAATTTTTTAGGTCAGGAAGAGTATAGTAGTCCCTCCCGTCATCCATACCATGACTAAGTCCTCTCTGCCTCCTCCTCTTCAAGTAACAAGTGAGCCCGCCTGGATACCTACAGCGACAGGGAGCTCACTACCTATTTTTATTCAATAATAATTAATTTTTAATAGTAGCAAATATTGCGTAGCAAGTATTGAAAACTTACTATCACCAAGTACTGCGTTAGCCCTGGGCATTAATCCTTAGGATGGCATTTAGTATGCGATCCCCATTTCAGAGGGAGCAATTAAGACTTGTGAGGTAGAGTCACATGCCTGAAGCTACACTATACATGCTCTTCACTCTCTTGCTGCGGAGCCTAGATATTCACATATCTGTTTTTGCGGATTTCTTTGCCTAATTGTCTTCTACTTCCTCCCTCTCCTTAACTGTTCATTAATGCTTCATTCCGGGAAAGTTAGGTTGTTTCTAAATATCTGGTATAATAATTCTGTAGTAACATTTTTTGGTGAACCTTGGAACACTTTTGTGAACCTTGGAGCACTTGTCATATTTCCTTGCAATAAATTCCTAGAACAAGAATTAGTGGGTTAAAGTACCCACACTTTTCCTTCCAGAAAGTTCTACGACTGTGCAACCCACTATTATTGCATGAGAAGGCCTTTTCACCAGAGCCTCTATCACTGCGTTTGGTCAGTTTCTCATGTTTTTCATCATTGCCAGTAAAATGAGAGAGCAATTGTCTCTGATATTTCTTATTATGGAATTTTTTTAAGACTGGGCATTTTTCCACATGTTTATTGGTTTTATACTATCTATATTTGTATATGTAAAGAATGAAAAGTTGAAAGTGACAATTTAAACAATTAAGCTAATATGAAAACTTGTGTCTTAGACATAACCTAGGAAGCTTACTTAGTAAATATAAAAATTTTCACTTTTAAAAACTTACATACTTATATTCCAGTTTTTCTGCCCCCAGTGCCCACCATGACATTTGCACAGGCATGTTCTAGGGAGTACGCCTGGCTGATGGGGTGACCTGCAGGCCTCAGGTCTCGCAGGCTCCCAGCTTGCCATTAATCGATAGGGAGTTCCCTGGGCCTTGGTGGTTAGGGCTTAATTAATATCCTGGCCAGCATCCAGAATCGTTCCCCAGAGGTGGTTGCATCAGCCCATTGCAGGCCCAGCAGCTGGGAGTTATTGCTGATCTTTGCAATAACTTTATTCTCTCTTCCCTTGATTATTGACGTTTTGAACACTAACCGACTGTTGACGTTCCAACCGTGCCTGATCCACACTGGGTGGTCCTCCTGAAATCAGCATCCACTTAGTAGGTACAGAAACATTTAGTACTATCTCTGTTGGTGACACACTTTGAACTTTCTCTAGAATAGACTCCCACTTCTCCTCTCTGGTTTTCAGGCTCTAGCTAGAAGGATCAGGGCATCGGCTTTAGCTAATGATTGCCTTGGACTAGAATCTTTCACTTTCAGACTACTGCCCTGGAACAGTGACTTGGCCTTTGTAAAACCACACAGTCGCTGCAGGGATTAAATGAGTTAATCTGTGTAAAATGGTCAGCATGGTCAATGTGAGCTCATTGGATGGAGCCCACTGGAGACCGTGAGATACTCACGAGTGGCTCCTGGGTCCACTTTCCCTTTGGAGAGTAAACTGTGGATGGGTTTTCCAGAGGCGGTGTCCGAGGACGGCATTCCAGGAATCCTGCCTCTCTCCCTGCCACCTTCAGAC